GCCTATGAAAAAAGATACCAGGGGCATCTCATGGGGCCCCCTACTGACCCCGGGCCCTCAGACAGTGCCCGAGTTTCCAAATGGTCAGTCCGCTTCTGGTTATGACTGATGGATGTATGTGGCCTCAATGAAATAAATCTTCTTCTGTGGGGTCACATATGTGCAAACCTGTTTTTGTGCTGAAAGCCCTCTGTGCACTGACAGCTCTGAGTCTTGTACTAATATCGGAAGTCAGGGGGACCATTCCAACAATCATAAGATCACTTTAGTAGCCTGTGATTGGCAACCACAATGAACAGTCATTGTACAGCCCACCCCTGTACTCCTTCTCCTCTTGAATGGACAAAAATATACATGTACTTCAACTGGGGACACAATGGGGGAGATTTACTAAAACTGGTGCACACAGAATCTGGTGCAGCTGTGCATAGTAACCAATCAGCTTCCAGTTTTTCTTGTCAAAGCTTAATTGAACAAGCTGAAGTTAAAAATTGACTGGCTACCATACACGGCTGCACCAGATTCTGCGTGCACCAGTTTTAGTAAATCTCCCCCATTGCGTCATTGTGTCTTTTTTTCTCATTGCTAGAGGAGAAGATTGTAAAGCAAAAAAAGTTGATCAGGGTTTCATCAAGGTCTGTGTTGAGGTTAGGATCAAAGGTCAAGGTCAATACATTTTAGGCAGTATTAAACTTTTTTAAACTTCGTATCAGTGTCAGCTAGTGACGGTATATTTTACGTGGGATAAAAAAAAAAGTGAAATGTGCACAATTGTTTCTGGGCTCTTCTATGTGTATAAACAACAAATAACATACACATATCATGTGGCATCTCTATGATTGGCAGGAGGAGGTAAATTTGTTTTGGGTTGTTCTTTCGTGGTAGGTCAAAAAAAATACATGCAGTATGTTATATAACAATTAATAAAAAATACTTGTGCTGCGCTAAATGAAATATAAATACCTAAAAAAATTCATGAATAATATACAAATAATATATGTCCAAAAAAGGATAAACGATTATCATTTAAGATTACCAGCATTAAATGGATATCGATAAGTCAAATACATAGAGTAACAATAACATAAAGAGAAGAGAAAGGGTAGATGGGGGTGGGAAGTAGAAGAAAGGAAGGGGACCCAGCTTTAGCATTATGCAAGACTGTGGTCCAACCCTTCCCTTTCTGAATTACTTACTATCCTACATCCGCAGAGATGGTCGTTTTAAACTCTTCTCACAATTACAAGAGGAATTTTCTCATTCTACCTTTTACTTTTATCAACTCCGACATGATATTAGAGCACAGTTTGGATCACTAGATAACTCGTCTTTGCTTACGCCCCTTGAGAAATTACTTTGCAAAGCAGAAACAGCTACACTCATTTTGGCCTATTATTCCAAGCTACTGATACTAGACGTTCTTTGTTTTGTTAGCTTTATTTTTTTTTCTTTTTGTTCCACCTTTATGTGAAAATCAATAAAACATCTTAAGAAAAAAAAAAGATGAAGATCACAAATAATATTATTCCCCGTGGACCTATCCACACAATAAGGAGGATACTATATCTAAATTTTATCCAGGGATAAAAATTATAATACCATAGACTGGTTTGATTTGAAAAAATTCTATTTTATTTTCCAGAAGTAAAAATAAGAATTCCTAGTCTTATAGTACTATCTGGTGGACAAGTACAGGCAACATCTAAACACACGTTAGGTTAATCAATATAAGTGCCTTCCAATCAGAGGGGCTAAATATTCTGAACTACATCTTTTAGGCTAGTGCTTAGATAAGGGAATTTTGGGAATAAAAGGGAAAGTTCAGAGAGGAAAGGGAAGACTCTATCATCTCCTAGATTGTAAGCTCCAAGGAGCAGGGCCCTCAAATCCCTCTTGTATCGAACTGTATTGTTACTGTATTGTCTCCCACTATAATGTAAAGCACTGAGCAAACCGTTGGCGCTATATGAATCCTGTATAATAATAATCCTAATGAGGACATACCCTCATGAAATCGCACTCTTCCAACAAGATCAGCACTTTCTCTTAATATCACTCTCCCTCAATAGATCACTCTCAGACTCTCTCAACTTGAAAGAATATGCTCTCTCAATTGAAAGACACTCTCTCAAGCTGGAGACACTCATGCTCCCTTGATCTAAAGTTCTATCATTCAATCATTTCCAAGCTCTCTGAACAATCTCTACAGGTCATCATGTAAGCAGCCTTGAGAATCCCTAGGTGTGGTCCCATAATCCAACTCAACAATCTTTGGTTGGTATGGTATAAATTAATCTCCATATTGTAAAACTTTCCCTCACTTGTAAATCTACTGTATGTGGGTTTCATAATTTAGCGTGATAGAATTTTGGGCAATAAGTCCTATCCAATAAGTATCTTCTCCACCTAAGGAATCAGGTAATTAAATCAAGCTGTGTCAGCATAAGTAGTGGCATAGACTCGATCCACACATTCTGCTGCAGAAGAATTGGAAGGAAGGGTCTGATTGGGGTGGATCTTGTTGTCTGCTAATATAGTCCAAGTTGCTTGAGTTCTGAGCCACTGGTGCTGGTACCTACTGAATGAAAAATAATTTAATGTATCCTAAGCTCCTAGGCCTAAATCTATAGTTGTACTGATTACTGTTAAAGCAACGTGATAATTAATTAACTCTGTTTTTGTATTGCATAATAAATCCAACATACAGTATAAATGATATAGTGACTTGATGGAAAATAAATTATTTATTTGCTATAAAGTCCATACTTTCCTTGATAATGTTATTGTGTTAAGAATCTCTACACAGGTTAAATGAACTCAGGTAATTAATCAAGCCAGTGTGGGTTACCTTTACTAACCCCCGGTTCACATATATGCAGACGTGCGGGCCGCGTTTTGCACAGGCACAAGAGCCCATTCATTTGAAGGGACTCCCATGCCCGTGACACGCAGGGAAGAAGTCCCTGCACTTTTTTGGAAAACGCAGCCCGCACAGGAACCTCGGTTCCCAGTACGGTTGCGTTTTCCAGTGCGGGCTGCGTGCCATTAGAATTAATGGCACCCACCCGCGGATCCACATTTCTCTGTGTGGTTGGTGCAGCTGCATGGATTTTTGCGCGGATCCGGAGTGGCACCACCCGCACAGATGTGAACCCAGGGTCAAGTATTTTATGCTAATTAGCACGCCAGAAAGGCTGGAGGTGCTGTCATATATTGATTGGTATAATCAATAATTGGTATTGTTTTCTTGATTAATCGTTTAAAGCAGTTATAAAGGCATGAAGGTAAAAAACCTTCTGTGCAGCAGTCCCCCCAGCCCCCTCAATACTTACCTGAGCCCCATCGAGATCCAGGAATGTGCGTGACAGCTTCGACTGTCCCGGGTCTCTGCCTCTTCATTGGTTGAGACGGCAAGCGGGAGCCAGACCCGAGATGAGGAGGTTCCAGGCTGCTTTGTGAAAAACCACTATACAGCACAGGTAACTATAGGCATGTTTGTTATTGTACAAAAAAAAAAAAAAAAAGGAACCTTTAGTATCACTTTAACCTTCCTGACAAAGTTCTTCCAAGAAGCGGAGTTGGTCGATTTGTTTGAAACCACTGTTTGATAGCAGGGGCCTGTTTTTGTTTCCATATTAGGGTATTACAGATTTAGCCGCATTAAATAGGTGTGGAGTAATGGATCGTGAGATCCAAGTTAAATTAAGAATACAATTTAAAACATATATAGCAAGATGTCACGTTCACAAGGACACATAAATGGCAAAGGCTGAAGTCACTAACATTAAAGCAAGAGAAAAGGATGTTGTAGAACTAGATTACTTTGCAATGATCAATTATAAAGATAAACTGATTTGTCATGCCATATAAACAAGACCACGTGATAATCCTTTAAAATGAAATAACTGAATATTTATGAAGATTTTATTGTTTAGTAAAGTGGTTTGTTCACATAAGTGTAAGCTGTTAGGCAAGCTAGTCTATGGAAAAACATTTCATAAGCTTAAAAAAGAAATCAAAATATTTGATAGTCATCATATATAAACTTGAGTGAACTATAGCTTTTCCAATGTAGGGAAAGCAGCTGCTTTACTATAAGGCTATGGTTTATCTAAAAATGCCGCATTTTTTTATGCTTTTTTTTTTTCTTGTTGCTACGCAGATTTAACCACTTCCCGTCCAGCCCATGTACATATACGGCCAGGCGAGAGCAGTGCAGGAGCAGGTTGCCGTTCATAAACGGCGCCCACATTTACAGTCTCTGGACACAGCGGAACACCGATCGCTGTACGGGACCTGTTTCTGGGGTCCCGATCATGTGATCACTGATTGGCCAATCAGTGATCACATGAATAGTAGTAAGCAAGATGTCACTTCCTGACTTCATTTCTTACTACTAGTGAAATCTGTGAATGATCACAGAGGTCACATGGTACAAGGCTATTCACAACAGCATTGTAACATGTGACAAGCTGTGACCAATCACAGCTCTTACAGTAATTCTCAATGGCTGCAAGACTGCAGTCAGAGAGAGGGAGAAATTATTGCTTTTACAGCCTTTATGGGTGTAAAAGCAATCAGTGTAAAAAAGAAAAAATCTTCATCACCCCCCCCCCCCCCCCCCCCCCCCCAAAAGTAGTACAGTGTCAATATTGTTACACTGTACTGCCAGGGTGACAGTATGTTATAAAAAACAAATAATAATTTAAAAAAATTTTTGCTATCTCTAGGTAAGTCAAACATGATTTTGGGACTATCCCAGTATGCAATATGGTATTGACGGCCGATATTCCTTCACCCTCTTAGCCGTGGTTACTGGTGGTAACCGATAACCATCCACTAGGACTGCATCAATATTAGAAAGCTCCTCTCCTCCACAGGCAGTAATTCATATTTTCAGCATAAATTAAAAAAAAAAAACAGACATCCCATAGTGTAAAACCGTATAGAACTTTAATAATGGGGTCAAACAATAAAAATGCCACTCACAAAGAAAGTACCTTTCCTGGCACTGGGTGTATTCAGCCCAGGGGCGGACTGATCATTTGGAAACCCGGGCACTGCCCGAGGGCCCGGGGTCAGTAGGGGGCCCCATGAGATGCCCCTGGTACCTTTTTCATAGGCTTTTTTGAGTTTGGGCAAGGACACAGGGGCCTCATGATCCCCTATTGCCCGGGGGCCCCATGAGTTGTCAGTCCACCCCTGATTCAGCCTTGTTAATTATGAATGCGAGTTCAAATGGCCGTCCCATTCCAGCGTGCATTCCAAACACCAGAAGTGACGTCGGCAGAAGTTGCTTCATAAGCCTTCAGCGCGTTTCGACCAATAGATCGTTTTCAGGAAGTACAAAATCAGCCATATTGAAGATGGTATTTATACCCTTCAGTCACCAATTTAATTCTCAAATATACTGCAGCTGTGGCACTCGTTTTTTACAAATTGCAGTAAAAATTCATATGATGGGACTGAATACCAATATTTTATTAGAATTTTTTTCATTATCACTTTAATTTGTACACTGGCATTTAGTTGATTGTATGAGCTTAGCGCGGTCTATTTGAAATATTACTGCTCGCTGCCATCATCACAGAACAAGCTCTTTTTCTGATTCAAATGCCCTTGCATTCACATTTTTTCCCCCATCACAGTAGATGTGAGCTCAGCAATGCTGAGATAGAGGAGATAGCGGGCGAGGCATGTGCGGGGTTTTGAGAGCTCACTCTTGAGATTTAAGGGTGAGTACTAACGGCTAGGAATGCCTTTTCAACATCCTAGCAACAGGGCAGGACCTGATAATGCCATCTCTGGGTTTTTGTAAGCCAGGCTTCGGTAGGTATGTAGATGGCCTACACCTATAGCAGGGGCATTATTCAACTTTAGTCAATGCAGCAAAGCTTGTTTTTTCAGGCACTCCTTACCTGCATAGGCTGTTTTTTGGTAACCCTTTAGGAAGATATTTACCTAAGTTTTGCAGATGTATGCAGATAGGTTTCTTCTATTTGTTTAAAAAAACGTTATCTTGGTTCTGCCCAATAGTACAGCACTGCTGCAAACCCCATACACTCCATCAGTGGCGTTGTGTCTCCTCCCCCTCTCCACTCAGCCATGGACAAAATGCAGACCCCTTGATGGCAGTACAGGCATAGAGTGGAAATAGTGACTTACCTTACTTTGAAGAGACCTTAAAAGCTAACAGAGGATCTAACCCTTCCTTACACTGTCCAATACTAAAATCAAAGTGTTTGGTGCAGTTTGGCTTTAAAGTACTTTTTTGGTTTACCCCTTCGGGTATAAGTACAGCTCATTCAGTTACTTCACAATAAAGGTCCTCAGGTATGTATTTTGTAGTTTAAAAGGACCTACTTTTAAAAATCATATCAGTTTAGTTCGACTTTAACCGCCTTCCGCACGCCATATAAGGAAATGACGGGAGGGTGGCGGCTCTCACGTTCTGGGAGGATGTCACCATGGTGTGGTGATCGGTGGTGTGCTGTGTCCCTGGGACACAGCGGATCACCAATCACAGTAAAGAGCTAGTGACGTAGGCTCTACCATGTGATCAGCTGTGTCTAATCACAGATGATCACATGTAAATAGGAAATGCCGGTTATTGGCAGTCCTCTCCTCACGCTGACAGAGCGTGAGCAGAGAGGAGAGCCGAAGTGGCATTCCTCAGAGGGGACATCTACACTGATCACCAGTGCCCTGTTTATCAGTGTAGCCCCATCAGTGCCACCTGTCAGTGCCCATAATTGCCACCTTTCAATGCCCATCAATGCCACATACCAGTGCCCATCAGTCCACATCAATGCCACATATTAGTGCACATCAATGTCACATATCAGTGCCAACTATCAGTGCTAGCTATCAGTGTTCGTCAGTGCCGACTATCAATGCCCATCAGTGCTGCCTAACAGTTCCAATCAGTACCGCCTATCAGTGCCATATATGAGTGCTTCCTTTCAGTGCCCATAAGTGATGCCTACCAATGCCCACCAGTGATGCCTTTCAATGCCCATTAGTGCCGCCTATCAGTGCCCATCGGTGCAGCCTCATTAGCGCACATCAGTAAAGGAGAAAAATTATTTATTTACAAAATTTTATAACAAATTAAGAAAAAACTTTTTTTTCCAAAATTTTCAGTCCTTTTTTAGTTTGTTTAGAAAAAAATAAAAAACCCAGTGGTGGTTAAACACCGTCAAAAAAAATCTCTATCTGTCTCAAACAAATAATAAAACTTTCGTTCGGGTACAGTGGTGCATGACCGCGCAATTGTCAAAGTGTGACAACACTGAAAGCTGAAAATTGGGCAGGTAGTGGGTAAATGTGTCCGGTAGGCAAGTGGTTAATGGTTCTTTGATAACATCTGAAAGCTCCTGATAATGAAGAAATCATATTTATGCAATAAAATCCCAACCCTGCATATTACAAACAGAATTCTTAATTGTCTAGTATTGGGGCATGCTTGCCGTGCAAATGCCAGGTCTCCTGCACATTCCTGTATGATGAAAACAGAGGTGGCTGACGACAGGTGGGAGGGGGTGATGGTATTACTCTATTGGCCTCACCTGGAATAAATTATATCTTATCCGAAAAGGAAGACAGAGCTCCAAACTACAAGATGACTTCAGCAAAGTGTGCAGCTCTCATCCTGCTCTTCTCTGTGTACCTACAGTGGAAGGCAGTCAGCGTAACAGGTGAGTAACTATCAAAGCTGCATGTTATAGACATAAAAAAGTATCATGTATACTTGTAGCCTATGTAGTTTATATGCAAGGGATATATTTAAACATTGCTATCCATAAATTATTGTACATAAATATAATTTGATGTTTTTAGGAGTGCTACTACTCTTCTATTATGTCTACAATATCTACAGATTTAAAATGAATATAGATCAGGGGTCCTGCTGGTCGCAATGTTGGTATAGAACAGGCTAGTAAAAGCAGTGAGGGAGTGGACAGGCACGGGTTAATTAACTGATTTGCAGTTCTGATTGTGATGTGTGACAGATAGGCACAGGGAGAGAACTAGCAGATCTGCAAGCACTGGAAAGAATGAGCCTGAGAACGGTACAGCGAGGATTTCTTCAGATCCGTAGTCTATATACTTTATATCCAGGTATCCTGGCAGGTAAACCTGTGGAGAAGAGTGGGCAGGCTGCGGACCTGTCTCCCCTGCACCCCCCCATTCTCTGTTCCGATCCATTTGCCCTAGGAAACCGCATTTTCATAAAGTTTCCTGGCTTTGTGCTCTACACTTAAAATGAGAAGTTTTGTCATGTGAAAAACCAACACAGTACTTCCGCATTTTCTCTTTAGCCTGGTACATTTACTCGAGCAGTAAGTAATCTAAACCTTATTATTATTATTATTATACAGGATTTATATAGCGCCAACAGTTTGCTCAGCGCTTTACAAAATAACGGGGGACAATACAGCAACAATACAGTTCAATACAAGAGGGTTAGGAAAGCCCTGCTACTTGGAGATTACAATGTAAGAGGGAGGGGCTGGTGGTACAAAAGGTAGTAACTGTAGGGGATGAACTGGTAGGAGTAGAAGATTCCATTATTAGCTGAGGGCAGGATAGGCTTCCCTGAAGAGATAGGTTTTCAGAGATCGCCTAAAAGTGAGCAGAGTAGACGATAGTCTGATAAATTGGGGTAGAGCGTTCCAGAGGATGGGGGAAGCTCTGGAGAAGTCCTGGAGACAAGCATGGGAGGAGGAGACGAGGGAGCTAGAGAGTAGGAGGTCAGGTGAGGAGCGGAGAGGACGGTTTGGGTGATATTTGGAGACAAGATTGGTGATGTAATTTGGGGCAGAGTTATAAATGGCTTTATATGTTATTGTTAATGCTTTGAATTTTATCCGTTGGGCAATGGGAAGCCAGTGGAGGGATTGGCAGAGAGGGATGGCAGATACGGAACGGTTAGTAAGGTGGATAAGTCTGGCAGCAGCATTCATGATAGACTGAAGAGGGGATAGCCTGCGATGAGGTAGGCCAATGAAGAGGGAGTTACAATAGTCAAACCTGGCTGCATTTCCTTCCCAATACGTATTACTTAAGGACTCCAGGTACTCCCACTCCATTTTCTGCAATTTTTGTCTGCATAGTTCAGTTTTTTGGCACAATGGATTGTTCTTCCCTAATTACCACCTCTGAAAAGACTGCACCAAAGCCCATACTAGAGGCATCGGTCTGAACCACAAATGCTCTCTTGAAGTCATGAGCAACTAAGACTGATTCTTTTACACACGGCAGTATTTAGTTGCTTAAATGTTTTTTTCTGCTTCCAGGTTTCACTTAACTATTGCGGATGCTCTGTCCTTGGGTAGCAGTGGTAATTTAGTCAACAAAAAATATTGTCGCCTAAAATAGCACTATTTTACTCGACTAAAATAATTCAGATGAGTAAAATACGACAAAAAAGGTGAAAAATTAGGGATCAGCCTCTTTTAGTAGCCAACCATACCCAGAAAACTTCACTCCTGCCTTTTTTTTAACCAGCAACAGCCTCTCTTACTAGTTTGTGGTTTAGTAAAGCCCATGCCAATGATGTACCCCAATTACCAGGCTTCCGCCATGCTTTGCCATGGATTAACGGTCATCCTCGCCTTCCCTATCGCATCCAAGACACCACAAACTCTGAGGAAATTACTGCTGCATACTTTTGTGGCAGATGGATCTCATCCATAGCCCATTGGAAGGTTGCAGGAGCCCATTGCAAGCCAAACGCCACGTGGGCATACTAGAGCAAACCCTTGAGAGTGAAAAAGGCCATATTTTCTTTGACGCATTTGGGGAGGAGAATTTGCCAGCTCCCCTGTGTCACAGTCAAGGTAAGACCAAAATAAAATCTATTCTGACTTTTGCTTACCCAGCGGAAGCACTTTATAATTTAATTCACCAGCTCATCCAAGAATCTCATAAGGTTCTTGACACTGAGCCAGGAATTTATTTGACACCACAGGCATAATATCCACAATTCTGTCCTGCAGCTGTGAGATACACTATATTGCCAAAAGTATTGGGGACACCTGCCTTAACGTAAGGTTCAACATTGAGTTGGCCCACCCTTTACTGCTGCAACAGCTTCAACTCTTCTGGGAAGGCTGTCCACAAGATTTAGGAGTGTGTCTATGGCAATGTTTGACCATTCTTCCAGAAGTTAATTTGTGAGGTCAGACAATAATGTCGGGCAAGAAGGCTGGGCTCACAGTCACCGCTCTAATTCATCTCAAAGGTGTTCTATCAGGTTGAAGTCAAGACTCTGTGCAGGCCAGTCAAGTTACTCCACCGCAAACTCTCTCATCCATGTCTTTATGGACCTTGCTTTGTGCACTGGTGCGCAGTCATGTTGGAACAGGAAGGGGCCATCCCCAAACTGCTCCCACAAAGTTGGGACCATGAAATTGTCCAAAATGTCTTGGTATGCCGACGCCTTAAGAGTTCCCTTCACTGGAACTAAGGGGTCATGCCCAACCCCTAAAAAACAGCCCCACACCATAATCCTCCACCAAACTTTACACTTGTCACAATGCAGTTAGGCAAGTACAGTTCTGCTGGCAACCACCAAACCCAGACACGTCCATTGGATTGCCAGAGAAACATGATTCTTCACTCTAGAGAACACGTCTCCACTGCTCTAGAGTCCAGTGGCAGCATGCTTTACACCACTGCTTTGCATTGCCCTTGGTAATGTAAGGCTTGGATGCAGCTGCTCGGCCATGGAAACCCAATGCATAAAGCTCTCTACACACTGTTGTTGTGCTAATCTGAAGGCCACATGAAGTTTGGAGGTCTTTAGCGATTGGCTCTGCAGACAGGTAGCGACTTCTGCGCACTGTGCGCTTCAGCATGGGCTGATCCACTCTGTTATTTTACATGGCCTACCACTTCATGGTTGAGTTACTGTTGTTCCCAGTTGCTTCCACTTTGATATAATACCACTAACAGTTGACCGTGGAATGTTTAGTAGCAAGGAAATTTCATGGTGCACAGGTAGCAACCTATCACGGTACCACGCTTGAATTCACTGAGCTCCTGAGAGCGACCCATTTTTTCACAAATGTTTGTAGAAGCAGTCTGCATGCCTAGGTGCTTGATTTTATACACCTGTGGCCATGGGGGTGATTGGAACACCTGAATCCAATGATTTGGACGGGTGTTCCAATATTTGGCAATATAGTGTATGCTCAGTCATGCTCCCATGTTGCAATGCTTCCTTATCCCAGGTCTCTTTCACACTATCTGGTAATCCCGAGAGCCATCTACCCAACAGCAATTTAAGGAGGGACAACCAAGTAGCAGATTGCGGAACCTCACAGATAGTGTATATGAGATGGGAAAGAAGATAATCCGTTCCCACCGATCTTCGTCAATTACCTTACGCAACATACTTTTTAGCATCTTGTTAAACCACTCCACCAGCCTGTCAGTTTTTGTGATACAAAGAGGTTCTCAACTGTTTAATCTTCATTAGTGTAAACAACTCTTTCATCGCTTTTGACAAAGGGTGTCCCCTGGTTAGTAAGAATCTATTTTACTGTTCCTGTGTAGGTGAACATAATTAACAGTTCTTTGGCAAAGGTTTTTGCCAAGGTGTTTCTTAAAATAATCACTTCTGGATAGCGGGTTGGGTAATTTAGCATTATGAGAAATATACTAGTAACCCCGAGCAGACTTCACCAGAGGTCTGACCAAATCCATTAGGATCCTTTTAAAAAGGTACCACAGCATTGAGCAGGGGTACCAGGGGACCATAGTAAAGGAGTAGTAGAGCAGTTTTCTGATGAATAGTAAAAGATTCTCGGAACTACTTATCCTCTCTATGCAGCCTCAGCCAGAAAATCTCAGGAGAATTTCTTCTTTAACCTTTCCTGAGCTAGATAAACTCCAGCGATGCTGATGAACCAGATCTAATACCACATATTGATAAAAGAGCAGGGCAGCACAAGTTGTTGAGACATTTCCTGATTTATTTTGGCCACAAGGTACAAGAGGCCATTGATTACTACTATCCATGCACACATGTCTGTC